GCGTAGCGCAGCGCAGCGCAGCGTACGACCGAGGAACAAACTATTTTGTTTTTCTCAGAGCGTATTGGAGCTTATTGAACTGCAGACACGCTTAATAGACATAGACATAGACATAGACATGTTTTATTCATGAATTGGGTACAAATTATACAATGTACATCTCAATCGTCAAATACATTATATGGTCTAGTAGCATTTAAATCAAAACGAAAAATAATTAGTTAAATCTATTTTATTCTAAAGATTTAAACATATAAGTCAAATAAAAATGCCATGTTGAATGAGATCAGGCAGACAGGAATTCTTCGGTACTGTAAAACTCACCTTCCACCAAATAATTTTTCAGTAGTTTCCCAAAACCATTAGAACCCAACCTTGAACTGCACTGCTTTACTTCTTCAGGAAGCCTATTAAAGAAAAATGGGCCCGAAAAATTTGCATTCCTTTCAGAAAGGGTCAGACGATGACATGGAGTACGAAGATCTCCTCCATGCCTAGTGGGGTATCTATGAAATTGACCAACCGATGGAATATCCTTCAGATGATTTACTGCAGACATTATTGCTCTGTAGATGAATATAGAAGGCAAAGTTAAAATGTTGTTCTTCCGGAAGACTCCTCTGCATGAATGGAGTGGTGGTAAGCAATTGAGGATACGCACTGCCCTTTTTTGTACGGTAAAGACCTTATCACCATGGGAAGAACCACCCCAGACTTCAATACCATAAGTCATGACTGAGAAAAAACAACCATAGTAGACTGCAACTAACATTTCCCAGTCAAGAAGAGGTTGCAACGTCCTAAGTGCATGGCAGATGCGGTTCAACTTGCAACAAAGCTGTGATACATGATTAGACCATGACAACATTTTATCCACAGTTAGACCTAAAAATTTCACAACAGAGCACTCTTCTATCTCGAACTTATTCAACGAGACGGATTCAGGGATCTTATTGAGAGTTAGGAATTGCATGAAAACGGACTTATCGGAGTTTAGTCTAAGATTGTTCAGCGATAACCAACTTAAAAGTGAACTAACTGACTCTTCAACTCGAGATTGCAAATTGGAACATGGACCTCCAAACAGTAAGGTTGTGTCATCCGCATAGAAGATTGATTTAGCTGAATGAAGATGTGCTGATAGATCATTAATATACACGATAAAAAGCAATGGTCCGAGAATACTACCCTGAGGAACCCCGAACTTGCATTCAGCGAGATGCGACCGAAATCCTGAAATCTCAACAAATTGCATTCTATTTGAAAGATACGATCGGAACCAATCTAGTGGAACTCCTCGAACACCATATTTTTCCAGTTTCTCACAAAGAATATTGTGATTAACTGTATCGAAAGCTTTCGAAAGATCACAGAATACACTCAGGGCTGGTTTGCGCTGTTCAAGGTTGGATAATACATCCTGAACAAACTCAACAATTTCTTGAGTGGTTGAGCGACCCGCTCTGAAGCCATATTGGTTTTGTATGAGAATGTTATTCATGTCTAGATGATTCATTAACCTGGAATACATAACCTTCTCCATTACCTTTGATAAAGTGCAAAGAAGAGCAACCGGCCTATAGTTGTTAACATCGCATTTGTCACCTTTCTTGAAGACCGGGACAATCTTTGCTGTTTTGTAAATATCGGGGAAAATACCTGATGACATGGAAGCATTAAACAGATAAACTAAAGGGTCTAAAATGGATGTGTACATTTGCTTTAAAAGAGAGCTGGATATTTCGTCAGAGCCTGTAGATGTTTTTGATTTAAGCGATTGAATTGCTTGCTCTATCTCTCTGGAAGTAACTGGAGACAAAAACAAAGAATGCATTGGAGGGGTCTGCTGGACAAGATTGACTGCAGTAGACGATTCACCGAATGTAGATCCAACAAAAGAACCTGAGAAATGTTTCGAAAAAAGATTTACTACTTCAGAAGGTGACTGAACCAATGAATCCTGGGATTTTAAGATGGGTAAAGAAGAAGGTTTCAACTCACAGGTCTCTCTACGAACAATATGCCAAAGGGCCTTTTGCATGCAGTCAGCTTTCTCCAATTCACATGAGATATTTGTACGTTTTTCCTGAATCAAAAGCCTCCTGAACAGTTTTTTTCTCTCTTTCAAAAGTGCTTTCAAGGCTGGATCCTTAGTATTTCGGACGAGAATACCCAAATCGACATTACTATTGGCAAAATCTTTCAACTCCTTACTCAATGGTTTTTTGTTTCTCCCCCTTTTTTTCTTAATTTTCTTTAAAGGAAATGATCTATTAAAACATGTTTTGACAATACCATGAAAAAATTCGAATTTACTGTTTACTTCATTGACCTGGTGCAATCTACTCCAATCTACCTGAGACAAAATTTCCTTAAAATTAGAAATATTACGTTTAATAATAGCCCAGTCAATCTAGGTTTTTACCCGGAAATGAGAGATATTAAGCTAATTTTTCCACAGATGTCCGTTATGGTATGTAAAATCACACCCTAAAAGTCCCCGCCCGCCCCCTGTGTGCTTCCCCTGTTTTACCGAAATTAAGGGGGGAGGGGCGCGACTTATTAGACGTGTCCGTAAACGTGATAACTTGAGTAATTTTGGTCCGATTTTGATTAAAATTTGGCTTGAAGGTGTGAGATGGGACAATCTTGAATGAGTTGGCAAACCAGCATGATCGGACCATGGGAACGGGTGTTTATGGGGGTTTTATGGGGTAAAAATTCGGTTTTATGGGGTAAAAATTTAATTTTCTCATTTTTGACCCTCAAAACACAAACATTTCTAATTCCTCTCCAAACCATTTTTAAAATGTTAAATAATCAAATTTTATAGTATATTAAAGTGTTTTTGTAAGGTTATTGGTTACGAAGAAAATTCAAAAAGTTATCAATTTAAAAAGCTAGTCAAAGTTTGTAATCTTGTTTCAAGTTGTAGCTCCGAGAATTACGTGGTGTCCAATACTGTAGTTGTATCCTTTATATAAGTTCAGTTGCAGTAAGGCAGATTTCAATCGAAGGTCCCATCTTGAAGACATTTTTGGTTATTCTTGAAGGTGAAGTTCAAAGTTGTAAAAAGTTTGAGTAAAGAAGTTAAGTTTAAAGAAAGTTTAAAAAAGTTAAAGCAGGAAACCACGCTCTGCTACCATATAGTGAATCCGTGGATTAGTTTAAGTTGTATATAGGTTTACCTGCATTTAATCTAAGTTTAAGTTAATAATAAGTTGAATAAATTAAGATTTTGAGTTTGTGTTAACTTTCTTTCTTTCAGTACCTTTTATTTACAATACAAATTATTTCCATAGAAACCAAAAATCAAAACATTAAGAAAATCTCAGCTGTCTAAAGACATTGCTTTAGCACACCGTCTACAACCTATAATGCGCTACGCTACGCTGCGCTCTCTGTGTGTATTGGACAAAGCTGCGCTTGGCTACGCTGCGCTGCGCTCGGCTACGTTGCGCTACGCTACGCTGTCTGTATGTTTCTACACTTAATAGGTTTTATGTAAATAGTAGTATTTATTATATGTGACACAATCCATTCCGACTTTGTTGGTCAACGATGCAGTATTCAAGTATTCAAGTAAGTAAGTAAGTACCTCCAAGCCTTTGCAGATGACCTAGTGCTGACAGTCAGAGGAAAACACGCAGCCACTGTGGAGAACCTCACCCAGACAGCTGTGAGCTTCATCGAGGGATGGTGCTCAAAAGAGGGCCTCACTATTAACCCGGAAAAAACGGAGCTAATCTCCTTTACGAGAAGGAGAACAAATCTAACTCCCCCACGAAATTCAGGGGAAAAGAATGAAGTTAGTGAAGGAAACAAAATACCTTGGAGTTTACCTGGACCAGAAACTTACCTGGAACAGACATCTTGATTATGTCCTTGCAAAAGGCATAGGAGCATCTGGAGCCTGTAGATGCAGGTGCCTCAGAACAGTTATGGCTGGATTGTCCAGCGTTGGCCCATAAAAGGGTTGACATCACTGGGAAGGCTGCACTCGGAACCTACAGAGTTTAAGGAACTGGGTGTTTTTCAGCTCCTGGGCCACGTCAGAAAGCCTAGGGCTGTCAGAATAATCTGAGGGGTGCTACAATAGGCCATCAGGCCGAAGTAGCTAGGGTAGCTCAATACCCCAACCCCCCCAGGGGGAAAAACAACCACGGATACATTAAGTTAACGAAAAATGTGCGGACGGCCGCTCTGGAGCGGCAGTCGGTAGTTAAGTTGTGTCCATCATTTGTGTTATTTGTGCCGGCCACGCATTTTTCGTTAACTTAATGTATCCGTGTGTTATATTTGTGTATTTTGACAACGACATCATGTTCAAATATTTTATGTTAGACGACAAGGCTTGAAAATGAAACGTCAGTTTCAAAACTAGTCCCCTGAAACTATACTAGGATTGACGAGGTAAGGTAGGCCTACGTAAACCTATGCTGAAATAACTTAAAAATCAAGAATTATTAAAACTCATTGTTGTAGCCCCGGAACTGTAATATATAAAATATTTGGTTTTACATTACCTTTATCAGTTCCAAAAGTAACCTTCGTCATGTAACGAAGGTTACTTTTGGAACTCGATAAAGGTAATGTAAAACCAAATACTGTATTTTAATTATCAAAACACTTTATTTGTGTCGGGTATTTCAATGACGATGGAATGTTTACTGCTCTTTTTACTCTGAATGTAATACAAATCAGTTGTAAGACGGCATTGTCAATTAATAACTAGATTCAAAAGGCAGCTGCATCCAGTATCAATCTAGCTCACGGTAAAACTGGCAACCTTAGGATTAAAAAATTACCAGGCCTACTTTAAACACAGTACAATTTATTTTTAGAAATTTAAAGTTTAAATTTAGATAGCTTTTTCATAAGAAAAAGTCTTTTTAGTTAAATAATAGTACGTTAAACAAAGTGTTTTATATTAGAAAAGAAGTACTTACATTGCAGTTTATAATGTACATAGAGAAAATTAAAAACTTCATCTTACTCACCCCAAGATATTGTTGTAACTTTTGGGTGTCGATGTTTTTCTTGAGATCAAAGAAATTGAATCTTCTCCACTGAAAATACATATTTATATTGATTGGGATTGCCTGTGCATCAGTTTTTTAAGAAAGTTTTAGATTTTTATTAAATAACTAAAATTAATTTTATCAATCGAATAGTATTTTACAAGTTTTTAATAAAAAAGTAGATACAATAGTTTTATTGGTAGAGAACAGCTCTTGTGATGAGGAAAACAACAGACAAAAAAACCTAGAATAATACCAGTTACCTTGTCTGGCAGATTATGGCTGGAATATCAATCAAGGCCAATACAGTATGGATGTTGAGAAATTATACACCTAATATTGCCAATTGCTGAATTATATGAAAAAAAGTTACTTTATAACCTACTTCCACAATTCATTCTTATCTGCCGCTAAATTAATATAGGCCAAAGTTACAGCCATCACTACAAAATTAATTTTTGTTGCATCTTCAACTAAGTCTTTCTTCTACGCAGGGATGTAGCTAGAGTACATGGCGCCCTTGGCGAATAGTACTGGGCCGCGCCCCCAAAGGGGGGACCGGGGAAGTTTTTTGCAATTTTAGGTACAAAATAGTAAGTTTCGCGTGTTTTAGCAAGTTTTTAACAAATGTCTCATAAGAATTTTAAATGGTTAGATTTGTGTGCTTTTTTTTATATCTCATATTTTGTTTAGGTAGCATAGCTGTTGAATTTTCGGCCACGACAATTATTTAAGAGTCTTCAGTAGTGCCGGGATATCATTTACATCTTACATCTTACATCGGCGCTCCTCTTCACAGTCGTGGAGACCGGAGAGTTGTCAATTTCTTGGAGGGGTGTGTGAAGTGAAACACATTTTTTTTTTCAAAATAAAGGATAATTTTCTGTAAACAATTCAAGTTTGTTTTCAATAAAATAAAAGGCATTTTCCTAGAGAACAGTTACATTTAATTTGACACCAAAATTATATTTTATGACGACCTGGGAAGGCGTTATGCGATCACAAGTTTAACATTAGTTTTATGATACTATCTTCAAGGTCGCGGCACTACTGAAAACTCATTAAAAAGTCAATTTACTTTAGAAAAATAGACATAGGCCTATAACCAAAAGTTGTTTGCAGCATCATCTTTAGAGTGATACAGATAAAAGTATGTATAATTTGAAACGGCACAAAAGAGTGTTTTATAATTTTTTAACGGGTTGGCTGTTTTATACCGTGGTGCAGCGAAGAGGCCGAATCTAGAGCGGACTACCTGTAGGTCTATTAAGATCAATAACAACTGAAAATGAGATAAAAACCTCTAGCTACTATAATAAATCTATGTCTTGGAGACGGATCTTTTCCTGACTCTTTGAAGATAAGCCGTACAGTCCCAGTATTTAAGAAGGGTGACCCGAAAGAGCTATAAAACTATAGGCCTATCTCTCTGATATCAATGCACACAGAGATCATGGAGTGTATAATCAAGGGACAACTTGTTGACTTTTTTCAAATCTTTTCACCGATGATCAGAATGGGTTTCAAAAGGGTAGATCTACGACCACCGCTTTGTTAAATCTAATAACAAAGATAAATGATGCCTTTGACAACAAACTCATTACAAACTTAACCCTATGCGACCTCAGCAAGGCGTTTGACTTTATAGCACATGTCTTGTTGAGAAAAATAAAAACGTTGGGCTAGAGACCTTTCAAAACTACGTAAGGGACAGAAAGCAGGTGGTATCTATAAGGGGATCTCTCTCTAGTGACCTGAATGTCAGCGTAAGGGTCCCACAGTGATCTGTTCTTGGACCTGTGCTCTTCCTCATTTTTATAAATTAGGCCTACCTGGGGACTGAGGGAAGAACTTTGCCGATGACACTACCCTCATCACAAGATTCACAAGTAGTAGTAACTTAGACCAACTGAAAATTGGAACACTCAAAATCCTTGACGAAGGTAAAGCCTGGTCCTCTAATAATAAGCTAAAAATAAATAATGACATAACCCAGGAGCTGATGCAGTCTAAAAAATCAGAATCTACAACAACCTGAGAAACTACTCGGTTTTTAGCTGGATGGCAAGTTGACATGGGATAAACACATAGGCTAGGTGAGTTAGATGCCAGACTTTCCAGAACGGTTTTCCTTCTAAGGAATTTAAAATAAAACTTGGTCACTGATACCTACTTAAAATTAGCCTATTATGGCCTCTTCCACAGCCGAATGAGCTATGGTGTCATTATCTGGGGGTATGCTTCGGAGACAAGGAGCATTCTAAAAACTCAAAAGGCTGCTGTAAGAGCCATAATTTCCAGCGCAAGGCATGAACATTGTAGACCACTGTTCCGTGACTTAGGAGTGATGACCGTTTGCAGTCAATTTATTTACAACTGGCTGGTACATGTTAAGGAAAACATAGGCAACCTCAGCTGCAGAAACCAACTTCACAATTACAACACGAGAAGAGGAGAAATTTTAAACATTCCTTTCTGCAGGCTGAGCTTAAGCAAAAAGAATGCTATCCTGTCCTTGGCATTACGCTCTACAACCATCTGGACAAGAACACAAAGTCACTCCCTCTCAGGCATTAAAGAAAGTCGAAGAACTACTCAAGATTGATAATAGAAAAGGCATATGGGGAATAGGCTATCAAACGGAATTTTGAAATTTTGACAGCAAGTTTGGTTAGTTAGGTTATCTTACAACAGTTCCATTTCAATTTAATATTTTTTATTGTTTGTTCATACTGAACAATATTTATTTATCGTAGTAGTCAGCTGATAAGTTTCAATTTGTTAATACCTGTCAATTTTATATCGAATAAAAAATCTATATAGGCTATCGAAAAGAAATCATTGATAATAATGAATGTCCCCTTTAACAGAAAAGTACCTATTGTTTATTACGCATCTTATTCGCCTATCAGTCAATCACCAGAACTCAATCGCACAGCACAATCCACCCTAACTGTTCGGGGTCGCAATCTGGCCCCGTACCGGTATATGTACAGTACCGTACTCGTAGGTTAGTGCATGTTGTTCCATTACAGCTGATGGCAGACTGGAAACAACAAGCTGGTCTGGCACTTGATCTGTGAGGCCAGAGCTGTAGCTGTGGTCATGTGATTGTCCTGGATGCATTTTCCTGGTCTTGGCCAAGCCAGTTTGTCTTTACCCTAACAAAACAAGCTCAAATACACTATAAAAACACCAGAAAGCATGTTGTTTTCAAATTAAGTACACTGTATAAGAGTGAGATACTGTATAAGAATGTATGATGCAAAAAGTGCCCTAATTCTATTTTAGGGGTCCATAATTAGATGCCGGTAGTACTTTTAACTTCAGTCTCCTGAGTCTATTATTTGAGGAAACTTATTTATTTAAACTGAATACCTCAGGTCTATTTGCCTGCCTATTATGCCTACTTAGCCAATAGATCACTTACTAAATTGCCTAAAATATAAACAAATTCTAGGCTATAAGATTAATTGTCTATCCTCTGAGTTAAAACTCACAATTTACCTAAACGAAAGGGTTAGAGCCTAGGAAATAAAAATACAAACCTCTAAAAAAGCCATCATAAAACCGCAGAATGTAAGAAAGTGTTGACTAAACAATGTTAACCAAATGATTCATAAAATAATGTCAAACACACAATAAGTACTAGGTAGGACATAACATTGATACAAAGAATCATATAATGATCTAAAATGGTATGTATATATTTTACAGAAGTGTAATAAATATATAATTTTGATGAGCAATATTCGTATTATATCTTGACACAAAGAAAATCGTAAGACATTATAACACAACTTTAAGAAGTTTAGTTTACCAAGTTGTTGACTTTTGACTGACTGACAGTAGTGACAGTGACACTGACTGACTGACACTGACAGTCAACATTTCAACTACACTGACACAGACCAGACCGCACAGGGAATGGGCATACGACGGGAGGGACGATGGCTAAAGGTGTGGTGACGTCATATATCGAGTGGCTAATGTCATAGATAAAACATACTCCTCAAGGACCTTGAGGAGTATGTTTTATCATAGACTAACCAACACAAGTATAGACTTCTCATCCCATTGTAAATTTTGAAGCTCGTTTTTCATGTCTAGTTCATGTACGCCACACTGGGCGCTAGTGTCGACGAAATTTTGTTTCTATTATTTTAGGGTTAATTTCTTGATTTGTGCTTTACTGTTTGGTTAAATAACTAGGGGACAATTTATTGTTTACGATTTGATCGTATTATTTGGTTAAACGAGGTTTTAAATGACTGTATTAACGGGAAACAAATTGTAAACAAAACACGACCTCTACATAAACCGTACAGAACTGACAATAAAATTGTCTTCAGCTGTTCCATTAGGATGAGAAATCTACTAAGGGAGTTTGTAAGGATGTTTTTATCTATGGTTTTATCTATGCTAATGTCTTCTCTTGAGGCAACACGATTACCGACGATTACGAGACGATGTGATTCCAGCGGCGTTCGTGGCATAGTTGTTGGCGCATCGGAGTAATGTTCAGGAGGTCTCGAGTTTGGAACCCGTCGGGGACAATAACTTTTTGTCAAAGATTTTGCTTTATTTGATTTTTATCTTATATATTTTATATATTATCAGCAAGTTTGGTTGTTAGGTTAGGTTATGACAGTTTAATTTTATAATACAAAATTTTTAAATTGATTTTATAATTAAAAATTATAAGTTATTCATTTTATTTTTATCTTATATATCTTTTTATATTATCAGAAAGTTTGGTTGGTTAGGTTAGGTTATGACAGTTTTTATAATTAAAAAGTTAATTTTATAACTAAAAGTTATAAAATTAACTTAATTTAAATGTTTCAACTTAGCGGTTCTAGTGGCGAACGCTGACACTATGTTAGCCATCGTCCCTCCCGTGTGTCCCACCGGACCACACAGTCACACAGACCACTCAACATCAACAAAACATTCTCTCTCAAGTCAATAACAGCATTTAAAGTATTAGGCAATATTGTCTGTGACAACAGTGTCTTGTGATAGCATAGCATAGCAAACAAACATAATTCAGAAAACGGAGAGCATTGAGATAAATAATAGAATATAACTGGAGTCACTACTCTCTGGTTAAACAAAACTATAGAGAAAACATGCCACGTTTTCGGTGTTTCGTGTTGTTACGAACGTTGGCCGTGTGATGTGTTGGTGGGATGCTGTCAAATTCCGATTCATTTTAATAGCAAAAAATTTTTTTTTGTTACAAAAGGTGTATCCCGAGATTTTGTGACAATCGAGCAATCTCTGGACCTTATTTCCTCAGACCACTCACCTGTAATTTTAACGATCGCTTCAAATGTTATATTCAAACCTATTCCACCACATTTATGCAACAAAAATACAGATTGGAATTATTTTCGTGAATTAATGGATCAAAATTTAAAGATTTCTGTGTGTTTGAAGAGCGAAGAAGATTTGAATCTTGCTGTTGAACATTTCAACAAAACAGTTCAAGACTCCGCTTGGAGAGCAACTCCAGACCAGAATAAACATAATTTAAAACGAGATGTTAGCCCGTCCTACGTACGGGAATTCAGTAGCCAGTTAAAACAGTGTACAATTCAGATCAGCTAGTTTACACATATAAAGACAAAGTTTCTTGCAGTTTTAATGTAAAAAATCATCTTGTAAACAAATGTTGTGTGACCAAATATGTTTTTATTCCATCATAGGCCTATACGATATGCATTTTAAATCCGTTAATTTTAAAATAAAACAGCAATTCTGCAATTTTTACGATGTGAAAAGCGTTGAAGTGAGATTTGCAGCCGATTCGCACAGACGCACACTGATTATAAGTAGCCTATTATAGAGAGAGTAATAGTCAAAATTGAGAAGTGTATAGACCTAGTCAACGATACCACCTTCCATAGCATACCTGCCTCTTCCATAATTATTATCACCACAATACAACTACTATACACAATTTCCAGTAGGTCTGAATAGAAACGACCTAAAACAAAACGATAATATCCAATAAAATTCACAGTACACAAACTTTGGTGTCCTAACATCAAAACGAATCGTCACACCTATCCTTTATATGAATTTCACTGCATTAATTGATAAATAAATATGCGTAAACAAAGAAAAGTAAAAACAATAACAGTTTGTTTTGAAACAGCTGTTTGGTTCAAATAACATTCATTTGAAAATAAGAACTGGTCACATGTAGCAGGAATATAAAAAGTAAACACGCTAGTAAAGCTAATGACGTAATTGTCAATGTTTATTATCTATACCGTTTTCAGTTCTATCCATGATAATTACACACCCTCATTGAATAAATGTACATCTTAATTTCCCATATTAGTTAACTTAAACTACAATATATTCATAGTTGAAATAAAAGTGATATTATTTTCACGTTTGGGGGCGCTGATATAGGTGCCCCCAAACGTAACCACAACTGAACACGATTTTATGTAAGGATGGTTTGTCTAATTGCAGTATCCTAGGTCAATGTTGACGTTGTGTTCAATCTATGTCATCCATCTGTTTATCTTTGTATAAAACCCGGCTGAGGTTGTGGTCGTAATTTAAAATCGTGATTCCTGATTATTCTTGATCTTCTTTTTATGACATCAATATTTCCGGGCCTAATCCATACAAAGTTAAAGCAGACAAACATTAATTGTAAACAAAAAGCTACCATGAAGAATTAAAACATGTAAACATTGTTATTTTTCTAATCTTTCCTTGAAAAGTGGAGCAGTAAAATAATTTGCATTTATCCTTTTTTATTAAGACTCGTGTACAGAGCCTCGATTTGTACTGTGGTTTAATTAATATTGGTTTAAACTGTGGTCTAATTATCTCTACTAATCTTACTTATTTCCTATAATCAATGACAAAAATAAAATAACCTCATAGTTCCATAGTTTATATTTAACCAGCTGTTAGTTAAAACAAATTATATTGCTCTAAAACAAATCGAAGATTACAAAGATTGCTTTAAAAAATAATTTGAACATCCTAGTATTTTACTATGTATATTTAATTAATCTGCCATCCTCTTACAGAAGAATTGAACGTATCAATGATTAGCATTACACATAGTATAAATAAGTCAACCCTAGGTACCCTATATCTTTACATTTTTATCCAAATGCTGAATTTGTGACACAAAAGCTGAATGTTTACAGCTGTTATGTTAAGCAAATTATTTTATGCCAAAAGCTAGTTTAGAATCTTAGCGTCGGCTGCTAGACTTTTTAAAAATTAAAACTTAATTTCTAAAAAACTGGGACCCTAAACTAAAATTATGGCTTCGACATTCCCTAGTTCTCAAAATTATCTTTCTTTCAACCCAAAAATCATGAAAATCCGTAGAGTGGTTGATTCAGAATCGTGAAATAAAAAAACACACTTTCGTTTTAATATTATAGATCAGGAATACACTATCCAATTGAAATTAATAGGAAAATTGCCGAAAAACGCCGACTCCGTAGAATATGGCAAAACTCTAGAGACCAGACGGATAAAAGAAATCTAAACAGGGCCACTCAACAACTAAAAAGGTTACTGTTTAAATTAAACAATGACAGATTTCAAGATTTCACATCAAACCTTTCTCCATCTGAAGCTAGTGACTACTCCCTTTGGAAAGTTACAAAAAACTTAAAACCTCCACAAATTTGCATTCCACCTATTCTAAAAGAAAACGGTTCTTGGGCCAAAAACAACATCGAGAAAGCAGATGTATTTGCTTCATACTTCAAGGAAGTGTTCAAGCCATATAATATTAATTCAAATGTTGAGCAAGAAATTTTGGAATTCCTCGATCCTCCAAATCAACTTGATTTACCAATAAAATTGTTCACACCATCTGAAGTAGCTAAAGTAATAAAAGACGATTTAAACGGCAAAAAAGCCCCCGGTTATGATCTGATAACAGGTAAAGTGTTGAAAGAGCTTCCTAGAAAAGGAATAGTTTTCCTTACAGTACTTTTCAATGCGGTTTTACGCCTTGAATACTTCCCAATACAGTGGAAGGTTTCACAAATTGTTGTTATTCCGAAACCTGGTAAACCTTTAAATCAAGCATCCTCGTATCGGCCTATATCTCTTCTTCCTGTGGTTTCTAAAGTTTTTGAAAAACTTTTCTTAAAAAGACTCCAAATTATAATTGATGAAAAAGAATTTTTGCCTTCCCATCAGTTTGGATTCCGCCGAAGGCATTCCACCATTGAGCAAGTGCATAGAATAGTGAATGTAATCAAGGAAGATCTTGAAAATAAACGTGTTTGTTCATCTGCTTTTTTGGACGTAGCCCAGGCGTTTGATAAAGTCTGGCACACAGGATTATTGTTCAAAATTAAAACTTTGCTGCCCCATACATACTATGGAGTGTTGAAATCGTATTTGTCCAAACGCTTTTTTCAAATTAAATATCAAGATATAGTTACAGATGTGCATGAAATTGAATCAGGTGTACCACAAGGCAGTGTTCTTGGGCCTATTTTGTATATTTTGTTCACTCATGACCTTCCAAGTACTCAGGGTATTACGGTTGCAACATTTGCAGACGACACTGCTTTTTTATCATCAAATCAAGATCCTATTCTGGCATCATCAAACCTTCAGGCTGCATTAGACGATTTGTCTCAGTGGCTACAGAATTGGAAAATTAAAGTAAATGAAACAAATAGTGACAATAGTGAAGCTACATATAGGCTCAAAAAAATTAATCCAATAGACCTTCCAAATCGTTTTTAGTTAAACTTTTTAAAAGTTTTTGTATGTTAGTGCACTTGATGGAGTGTAACTAACCCATGTTAAAATGGTTATAAAATTTACTTATTATTCTAGTATAGAATAGGATTGTAAATAAATACTTGTTAAAAAAAAAAAATTAATAGCAGCACATGCTACCACAGTACAGATTTGTACAGATGGGAAGTAATCAATATCATAAGGATAAGGATTGGTCACACTATGTTAAATAAAACACTTCATATGATGAATCTATATTTCACACCACTATGCTTAAAATGCACTATAGGGCTGAAGAATCAATGAATAGAACATGTTATATTGGAATGTCTTCAATATGAATATGCGAGAAAGAAATGCTTTAAAGAAATAAACAAAATTACAAACTATGACTTAAAAACAAAATAAGAGAAATACTTGCCAGCCTAGACATTGAAATGTATAGAGAAATAAATAACTATATCTACAAACATTCAAGAAAAATATATAAACTCACACAGAACAACCTCTCACTCACAAAACAATATCCTGTGGCATTGGGTTCTTACTTTCCGTGGCCCCTCCCTTTCGGGTTAGGTTATGAGGCCTGGACGGACCCCTGGCCGAGAAGAGCATCTCAAATCCAAACCTTATATCCTTGTACATCCTCTCCCTTAGAATTATCCCTCTTTAAAGTATACTAACTAAAACTCAAAAACAAAACATAAACATAAATGTCATCATTGACTAACAAAAATCTATGTGTTTGTTACAGATAAATGTGAAAAAAAAACTATTAACCCAGGCAGCCACAAGGTGATAAAACGATATTAAATTCAGAAGTGTGTGTACAATGACTACATGGTGTTGAAATATACCAAGTCAGCCAAAGGCATTAAGAAAAAAAAACCTGTTATCCGTTACCCGTTATTTTAAGCACTTGTATCAAAAACTTCAGTTATTGCACGTTAAAACCTGTGTATTTAAAGTTATTTTGAAACATTATAAATTGTTTTTGATAGTAAATAAATAAATACTAACTTATTTACCTCTTTTCAAGCTACCTATGATTGAAAATAGTCGAGTTTCCTGGTTTGGAGGTATCGGTTTAGTGCGAACGAGATCATCTTGAAAATTAAGAAGTTAAACGGGGCAAAGCCCGCGGGTTACAGCTAGTCGGTTTATAATCTTGTTAAAATGGGTTGCTCGTAAAATTAAATAAATAAACTTATATTGCAATCATAGTGTTGACACTTTTTTTACTATCAACAAAACAACAGGATGACATATTGATCTTGCCTCTAATTTGACAAAACCCACCAACCGATCACACGGCCAACCTAACAACACGAAACTCTGAAACCTGAAACAAAACCAGCAAAAACATTGGTACGGTTTTTGAACACAGAGTGGTTACTCCAGTTATTATTATAGGGTAAGAGCTAGAGTTATTGGCTCTACCCATGGTGGAATGTATTTTACCTACGACCGTTTTTTAAGTAGCCATTTCAGTCCAGTTCTTAGAATTGAAAAGTTTCACTTTACAGCTGTTTACTTTCATATCCGCATAGTTTCATTTCATATCCGCATAGTTTTCTCATATCCACACAGGTAACGGACCAATGAGGTCCAAGTATTGAGAGAAAAGAATTAAAATTGTAATGCTTCGAACGTCAACTAATCAGCTGATCAGCTGATCAGTTGACCAATTTAATTGTTGATCCGACTTGTTCATGTTGATACTCACGTATTCTTAATTAAGTTGGTGGAAGTCCAAAAATAAATGAAATATTTGCCGAATTGTACCCGATACAATATTATTTATGGTAAGAATGCTGCTAGCAATGTAATATTTAACGAAGTTTAACAAACACGTAATTACAGGAAATCAGCTGATTATACAACAAGTCGTTGCATCACTTTCAGTGGCAATGACAATACACGAAAACATAACCTCTCTAAAAAGTTATCATTAGTGATTGTTAGTAATTAAATCCAGATTGATAGTAATTAAAAAACGGTCGTAGGTAAAGTAGTGTACGCAACTCGCGTTAATAGTCTTTACGACACTCGTAGAAATTTTCTACTCGTGTCGTAAAGACCCACTTAACGCAATCGTTGCGTAAACTACTATTACCTACGACCGTTTTTTAAAGTAGCCATTTCAGTCCAGTTCTTAGAATTGAAAAGTTTCACTTTACAGCTGTTTACTTTCATATCCGCATAGTTTCATTTCATATCCGCATAGTTTTCTCATATCCACACAGGTAACGGACCAATGAGGTTCAAGTATTGAGAGAAAAGAATTAAAATTGTAATGCTTCGAACGTCAACTAATCAGCTGATCAGCTGATCAGTTGACCAATTTAATTGTTGATCCGACTTGTTCATGTTGATACTCGCGTATTCTTAATTAAGTTGGTGGAAGTCCAAAAATAAATGAAATATTTGCCGAATTGTACCTGATAAAATATTATTTATGGTAAGAATGCTGCTAGCAATGTAATATTTAACGAAGTTTAACAAACACGTAATTGCAGGAAATGAGCTGATTATACAACAAGTCGTTGCATCACTTTCAGTGGCAATGACAATACACGAAAACATAACCTCTCTAAAAAGTTATCAGTAGTGATTGTTAGTAATTAAATCCAGATTGATAGTAATTAAAAAACGGTCGTAGGTAAAGTAGTGTACGCAACTCGCGTTAATAGTCTTTACGACACTCGTAGAAGTTTTTAAGGCACTCGCCAATGCTCGTGCCTTAAATTTTCTACTCGTGTCGTAAAGACTCACTTAACGCAATCGTTGCGTAAACTACTATTTCCTTCCACCATGGGCTCTACCATAGTTATTGGCAACTTTATTTCAGAGCCTTGTACACCTAAATTCAAAAGTCAGTGGAAGAGGGAAGTTAGTTGCTGAAATGCCCACATGAGTTCTCTGTACTTCAGTGTGTGTTTGGTTATTTCAGAGGCCATGCTAACCTGCACAGAAAATTTTGTTCAAAAGCTAAGCAGATTTTTATTGATTCTTCTCATTCCCTTAAGAATCTGACAAGGACTTAAATACCTGTTCATTGTTTACTGTTCAAACTGAACGTTAAAAAATAAGTTTTCATCATTTCATTATTAGTATTAGCATTGAGAATAAGTGGTATTAGGAAGGACTGATCTGTCTATTCCCGCCACCTATATAACTTAAAATTACCAAATATATGAAGGCGCCAACAACTGTGTCTAAAATATGTACTGATTTTGTTATTGACGGAACGCTTTGGGGCAGTTGGATTAATAAGTATCTATAAAGTTAAAGTATTGAAATGCTATGGGAAGGGAGGGAAACAGGTCCACGACATAGGAAGTGGTGAATGAAGTAGTAAAGGCTAGCAGTGCATGCAGAGTGTGGGAACGCTGTATGACAGTTACATCAATGTATCTACAATACTAAAATGTTATGGGAAGGGAGGTAAACAGGTCCAAGACGTAGGAAGTGGTAAAGGAAGTAGTAAAGGCTAGCAAGTGCAGAGTGTGGGAACATTTGAATTTTGTATTATATCTAAGATATATTTTCATTTATTGCTTTAACACCATGAAACATGATTGCTCCGCTCAACTGGCCTTCATTGCTATGAAAGCAATCCTAGTCCTACTTAATCCTACTAATATTATAAATGAGAAAGTTTGGATGTATGGATGTATGGATGTATGTTTGTGACAAGTGAACACGAAAAATACTGGTCGGATTGGGCTGAAATTTGGCATGATGATAGCTCACATTCCCGATTAACATATAGGCATATTATTATTTCAAAAATCCTTTCGGGCTCCGCCCCAGTGGCTCTGGAGTTTCCCATGTTAACCTTATGAGAAATTGAATTATTGAATCTTAACAGCTGTTTCAATTAAACAAGTTGGTTCTGTTCTATGATGTTCAATAGCATTAAAGTTACAAGGATTACCAACAGGGTGCAGCACTATTATTTCTTTTACATTTATGACAACAGCTAATTTGCAACCAAAAGGTGAGTGAGCGTAGCGAACGAACTTCAACCTGGAGGCGAGTTAGCGTAGCGAACGAGCTAACCTGAAGGCAAGTGAGCGCAGCGAACGAGCTCCAACCTAAAGGTGAGTGAGCGTAGCGAACAAACTTCAACCAGGACGTGATTGAGCCATGCGAACGAGATAATCTTGAAAATTAAGAAGTTAAACGGGGCAAAGCCCGCGGGTTACAGCTAGTAATATTATAAATGAGAAAGTTTGGATGTTTGTGACAAGTGAACGCGAAAAATACTGGTCGGATTGGGCTGAAATTTGGCATGATGATAGCTCACATTCCCGATTAACATATAGGCATATTCTTATTTCAAAAATCCTTTCGGGCTCCGCCCCAGTGGCTCTGGAGTTTCCCATGTTAACCTTATGAGAAAAGGAATTATTGAATCTTAACAGCTGTTTCAATTAAAAAAGTTGGTTCTGTTCTATGATGTTCAATAGCATTAAAGTTACAAGGATTACCAACAGGGTGCATCACTATTATTTCTTTTACATTTATGAAAACAGCTAATTTGCAACCAAAAGGTGAGTGAGCGTAGCGAACGAACTTTAACCTCGAGGCGAGTTAGCGTAACGAACGAGCTAACCTGAAGGCAAGTGAGCGCATTGAACGAGCTCAAACCTAAAGGTGAGTGAGCGTAGCGAACGAGATCCAACCTAAAGGTGAGTGAGCGTAGCGAACAAACTTCAACCAGGACGTGATTGAGCCATGCGAACGAGATAATCTTGAAAATTAAGAAGTTAAACGGGGCAAAGCCCGCGGGTTACAGCTAGTTAGCATATAATTTGGGCCAGCGACGTAATTTGTTTATATCTAAGATACATACAGTTTCTGTTCTAATATTCGTGCGCCTTACTCAACTTTGACTTTGACTTTGACCACCGCCACCACGATCGTCGATTACGCATCATGATGCACACAGCACACACCACACACCACCGACGAGTCTTGTCATGGACCACCACCACTCCGCCAGTAAACTAGTGAAGTGAATAGAAGAGAAGTGAGGAGAACGGATTAGTTGAATAGTCTGCTTCATTGTCTTAGCTTTCTGCTGTGTTGTGATTGTAGATTTCGAAATGTGATTGTGTTAAAAATCTTGCAATTATTTGTTTATATGCAAGTTCTGCAGTGTATAAGTCCACATTTGTTTGTATATGTAGCGTAGATAAACTGAATCTTAATGTCAATCGGCACCGAAGAAAACGTGATTATTGTTGTTTGGATTTAACTTCAGGGTTGAATTCTACCAATTCCCACACAACTTGAATCAGGTATGTCAAACTTTATCCTTTGATTCTATAGGCTACTAGGCTTATTTTCCTTCTGTAAATTAACTTTTTCCATGCTGCTGAAAATGTAATGTATTGTGTTGACAAATATGATCTCCCTAGGCTAGGCTAGGCTACTGTACTGTAGTCTATCTTTAACTTAGTATCTTTTGGTAACTTACAGGCTAAGGAAGGTTTTGAAATATTTTACTGTTGATTAGGCCTATGAATATTTTCAATTCTATGTAAGTTAACGTTCAGAACCGTGAATGTGTTAAGTGCACACAGTTCGCTAATAAGTTAAATCAGTTGTAGGGTAATTCTATTCATTTCACTTAAAGTTCTGATTGAATGAATTAGGCTATGCCTACATACTAGGCTTGGTAGGTCTTAGGTCTAGGGAACTAATTTACAAACAGCGATACACCAATACAAATATTACAAATCTGATTATAATTGAAGTAGGCCTTACTGTGCCGGTAACAACATAAAAATTACTACCGTAGGGGTAATCTTACAAAATACTATATCTTAACAAAACAATTGCCTAGTTTCCCATAGCAGTGAGACTGATTGAATCTTATACCTTATCATTTTAAGTGATATGCAATTAAAGGAAAGGTCATCATTTCAATTTTAACCATTAACATTACTGGAAAAATGGTTATCGGGTTGCATAAACTACCGGTACTTGTGACGCTCGTAAAGGTGATTATATTCTATTTAAAATCAATTATGTTAAAGTAGATTACATATGTTGGTAATTTTTACTTATTTCTGACATTTTTTGCCTTTTTGAGGTTGAAATGTTGAAACTAACTTAGTTGCCAGAAAGCAACAAAGGAGTAGGTAGCTACTATATGCAGGTAGGTGTTGTAACTTTTAAACCATTTTAAGTTTGACATTTCGACTTAATGATTAACTTAGATTTTGACTTTGACAACTTAAAGTGGTCAAAATCAGCTTAGGCCTAGTTTAAATAACATTTTGGAAAAGAGTAGAAAGTTTTGAAGCGTTTTGCAATTTGTGATTATTTAGGACGGTTAGGCCTAGTGTTGCTTAAACTGTTCAACTTAAATTTGAAATACTGTAGGCCTACTGTAACATGGCTACTGTGCAGTCAGTCAACTGTGGATGGATTCAAATTTAAGAATCCTAGTAGACGTCGGTAATCTAGTGACTAGGATATCATGAAAAGTAAACACCTTGAAAAAGCTTAAAATCCAGGGAGTTTAGGATCTATCAGCATTTTTAGCACAGTAGGCCTAGGCCTCATTGATCAAATACTAAGATCACAGCCCAGCCCCTAGGCCAACTCTTGCCCAATGTGCTAAGCTTTCGTGCGTAGGCCTACTTCGCTTGCTGACGTTGTCTGTACAATCCATCCTGCTGAACCAGGCTAACGTTTGGGCCCACATTTCATAGAAGCGTTGCTATCGAGACCCACTCTCCAGATATTTAGCAACGAGGTGCTTTGCATGTCTGCTGCATGATATTGGAATCTGTAGCGGTTTTGATTGCCAGGGTTCCTGCATTCCCATTTCATCTTTCTGCCGACGAGAGACAGGATATTTACGGTACCGACAGAGGACCGATGTTAGATCTTAGCGTTGTTCACTGGCAGCACGAATGAGATGCTGAATTGAGAAGATGTTGGACCTACCGGCTCATTCCTTAGATACAATTGTGGAAAAGTCGATTAGGCTTACTTTGTGGTCCAGTTTCTTTTGGGTCAGTGGTTGGCTCCCAGGATTATATTGTTGTGTTCCTGGGTCGATTTAGGAACTACACCAGCTGTTTTTTATTGTCCTGGTACAACAGTCACTGTTGAGCATGTCTTATTTGCTTGTTAAAGGTGGCGGTACTTTCCTGTGAAAGGGAACATTCATCATTATCGATGATTTCTTATCGATATATAGCTATTTTATTTTTTATTCAATAGGCTATATTGATATTAACAAATTGGTACTTTCCTGTTAAGGGGAACATTCATTATCATCGATGATTTCTTTACGATATATATCAATATTTTTGTTTTCCTTTACGATTTATATTCCATCTGTTTTAATATCTTCAAACGCATTAAAATTACAGAGAGACAAACAGACATAGCATGTCTAAGTTATAGCATTGTTATACTTGGTTCAGTAACCGAGTTATTGAGTTATACCCTAGCTCGTAAGTTATTAGAGAATAGGATTAAGAACTAATCTTGTTTAGGTAAAAATAATCTAGCCTATATTGGATTAAGAAATGAAACTATTCTAAACTAACCTAACATAACTAACCAAACTTTCTGTAGTACAGTTTCAAAATTACGTTTGATAATAGAAAAGGCATATTGGGAATAGGCTATCAAACGGAATTTTGAAATGTTGCAGGAAGTTTGGTTAGTTTAGAACAGTATACTATCAATTTAATAGGCCTATTGTTTTTATTGTTTGTTGATACTGACCAATATTTATTTATCGTAGTTGTCAGCTGATAAGTTTCAATTTGTTAATTCAATAAAAAAAATATTGATATAGCCTATATAGAAAATAAATCATCGATAATAATGAATATTCCCTTAAACAGGAAAGTACCAAGGTGGCACACCCATCAATCTCCAGTTGTGAGAAGATGGAAGTTGTCTCACAACATCATCATGTTGTGTGTCATCTTCATGTTGGAGTAAATCAACTGCCTCCTGAGTCCTGCCTGAAAGAGGACACTTACAGTTAGTTAAGAAGTGTTTTTAGCGAATTTCCTATATAGGGAATAAGCTATTACCGTAGGTCTCATGGTAAGACCTAGGCCCGGGACCGATTTACTTTTTCGTTTTGAGGTCCCCAGAGGCCAAAAACACCATCCGTTCAAATTCATATATATATATATACATATATATATATATATATTTATATATGTGTCCTTTGCGCGATAACTCGAGCAAAAATGATCCGATTTTGATGAAATTTGGTATAAACGTGTAAACCTACATTTATTCGAACGAGTTCGCGAACCAGCATGATCGGACAATTGGAACAGGGATTTATGGGGTAAAAAATGGGTTTCTCATTTTTCACCCTGAAAACATAAAATTTTGCTATTTCTTTCCAAACCATTTTGTAGAGCTCAAAAAAAGAAATAATTTGGTATATTGAAGCATTGTTGCATGCCTAACGGTTACAAAAAAAATCCCAAAATAGTGTAAATTTAAAATTACCATGTTATCCTTATGGAGAATAAATACACTGTTGTAGCTTGCTTGTCTATAGACATATTTTAATGAAATTTTGATTACGTTATACTCAGCTATCAATATTTGAATAAAAACTCCCTATTTTCTTCCCTGTAGCAGCAAACCTAAGTACTCAATTAATATTAATGATATTTAAATAGGAAATAAATCTGCCAATATTAAGGAAATAATTTAGTGGAATTCCAGCCAGGTAGATGGAAATTCGCTTAGTCTGCAGGTTTGCTGCGGCGGGGGTATTTAGTCCATAATATAGCGTAAAAAGTCTATCATGGTCAGTTTTTCTCAGCATACCCCTTCATGGAAAGCCATCAAAGTGGCTTTATTTAAAGAAGTATTGTGCTGAAGGGCTTCATAATAGTTTCCTTTTCTCAGGAGATGAGGGTGGGGTTAGTGGATAGGACTTTGGCAACTCGTCCGTAAAAGGATTCCTACCTTCTACAAGTAGTCTACATTTTAGCAGGTTAAATTGTGTGACTGATCTTGATGAAAGATAAAACCTAAATTAAACATTGTGCTATTTAGATAGAATTTTGAAGGAAAGATGGTAGGCCTAGATATATTCTATGTAAGTCATGTCTTTAATTGGGCACTTGTCAATTGTAAAATCTTTTTCTTTACCCTACTGTTTGCCTCGCCCATCAAAAACTTGTTTTTCTCAAAAATGTTATTTTTTCTTTATGAGATCAACTTTACTGTCATTAAAAGCTCTACTAACATTCCTTTTATCTAAATGACTTTCTTCTCTGCGAGGGACCAGAAACCAGCTGTTTACCGTGAAGTGTTGTGAAAGGCCTATTGCTTAAATTCTGATTTAAATGTTAAATTCTATTTTTGTTTGGTTTCAAATCTATAAACATAGCCTATTCCTAAGTTACCGGTACTTATAGCATAGAATAAATAAACACCATAATTTATATTACTTCATCTATGCTTATAGTACGGTATATTTTTGTATCGTTAAAATATATTTTCAATCCCATAAAATTGATTAAGCTGTTGCTGGTATTGCTTGTGAAATTAAAACTTTGTGTTTAAGTTATTAGTAATTATTGATACAAATTTGATTACACAGTAAAACCACAATATAGGGAAATATCCTCAAAATTGATTACCTACTGTCAGCCAAAGCTCACTGCTCTCATACATATTTATCATGCGGATGAACGTCATTGATTGTTCATCTGGAATTCATTGGGAAGGCTAATGAAATGTGCAAGCTAATTGAGAAAACAAAGTCATAAAATGTATACGGGTGACTGATTTGGCCAGTGAATATATCTGGCTAGTGATAATTAGGTAGGAAAGGATTCTATTGTATAAAAAATGTATTGAGCTTGGAGGTTTGATTGATTTTCCATCAAACGTGTCATACTTAATTGCTTTTATCTAGTTTAAGTTATTCCTCGTTCAACTAATAGGCCTAACCTTTTTGGCCAGAATAAGGATTATTTTGCTTCATATCTTTTACTCTATACTTTGTCAATCCTTTGAAAGATATTTTATATCAACAGCTAATAACAGGTTAAATGTGTTAAGTCATTGTTGATGCTGACTCTTAAAAATGTGCAAGTTATCTCATTATTTTGTCACTTTATTAAACCTTTAACTTATAGATGGGCTATTATATGACAGTGCGTATTTACACTTGCTCAATTGTACCCCAAATAATAGTGTTGTAAAGTGGTTTGTATTTTATGAGTAAATAAGTATAAATAAATTGGCAATTCTCAAAAAATAGGGCTATAACCAACATATATGTATT